AGTCGTAACAGCTCCTGAATCTGCGCCTTAAGCTCCTGCAACTCCTTAGGCGCCATGCGGTATGGGGCTTTGGACACTGGACCGGCTCCTGGAATGAGATCGATTGAGAACTCCACCTGCCGGTTGGGCGGTCCTCCTGGAAGCTCGTCTGGGAATACGTCCACAAACTCTCGAACGACTAGAACATCGTGCGGTGAACGTGCTTTCTGAGAATCGTCGACAAGGCTCACCAGATAACCCTGGCAGTTGCCTCGTCGCAGCAACTTAGTGGCTTTCGCCATCGAAACGACATGAGGCAAAGAACGATTTCTAGAGCCGAAGAAAGTAATCGACTCATCTCCCGGAAGATAAAGCGTAATCTCCCGGTCGTGACATCTGATATCTGCATGATAGAAAGATAGCCAATCCATTCCGAGAATAAGATCAAAGTCCCTCATCTCGAGAACAAATGCGTCGGTAGACAAAACTCGGCCACCGATGGAAAGGCTAAGATCTGAAGCTTTAGCTAAAGTCACTATCTTTCGTCCCGAGGCCAAACTCACCTCGAGAGGATCGATAGCGGTAGTAGCGCAAACTCCGATGGCGTCAAGACATCGTCGAGAAATGAAAGTATGTGTCGCTCCAGTATCAAATAAAGCAAACACAGGAACATTATTAAGAACAACCATTCCGGACATGGTACCTGGCTGCTGCTCGGCCTCAGCCTGATCGACTGCATAAACTCGGGCCTGCTGTCTGCCCATCTGCTGCTGCTGCTGAGGCTGCCTCTGTGCCTGCTGACGGGGCTGCTACTGCTGCGGTGGCTGCTGAGGCTGCTGAGGCTGCTGCGCCATCTTCGGACAACGGTTCGCGAAGTGTCCGGGCTCGTGACAATAGTAGCACACATCCTGACCAAAGCGACACTCGCCTCGGTGAAGTCGTCCGCATGTCGGGCACTGGGGGATCTGCTGTAGCCTACGTCGGGTCCTCTTATCTGTCGGGGCACCTTTCCCCTTCCTCTTGTTGTTCTTTGGCGGCTGGGTAGATGGTAAAGTTGGCAACGGTGGAACTGAAGACGACTGGGCAGGGGCGGATGGCTGGAACTGCTCACAAACGGCCTCCCTCCTAATGCTGGCGTCCACCTCTTGGGCAATGGAGACTGCACGTGCGTACGTCTGTGTCCCGTGGCCTACGATGTTATGACGGACTGCTGGGTAAAGCCCGTCAATGAAACGCTGCGCTCGCTGGGCCTCCGTGCGGACCAAATCAGGAACAAAAGTGCAAGTCTTGTGAATTCCCTCTCGTACTCGTCAACAGTACGAGTACCCTGTTGGAGCGATAGAAACTGACGATCCATCTCGGCTCGGTAGTATGTGGGGTAGTACTTCTCGCGGATTAACTCCTTACACAATTCCCACGTACAACCCGCCTTTTCACCAGGACGCATGCTCCAGTAGGCGTTCCACCAGAGCCTGGCATCACCGGTGAGCTGAAGCTGAGCGCAAATGACGCGATATCTCTCAGGGCACTCCATGACCTCGAAGATAAACTCCAAGCCCTGAATCCACTCGTCAACTATGCGAGGATCTCCCTGCCTTGAGAACTTTTCGGCATGATAGTCGCGGAACTGGGCTACCACTGTAGCCTAAGTAGGAACTGGATGATCGGGTTCCCTACGTGGCGGCATCTGAATATTGAGAAAGTTCAAAATTATTGAACACGCACTGATATTCTGACTGATTACTGAGGCACACAAATCTCTTGACGAGTAGCCAAAAATGGCCGATAAATACTGACATGAAACCTGAGGAACTCTAGAGTCATATCTGAGTGTACTGATTTCTAAAGTCAGGTCTGAATGTACTGAATTCTAGATTTATATCGGAACTCTAAGGTTTGAACCTGAATCGAGCATCTTAACTAAGTCTGATTACTGATTTCTGAGCATAGACAAAGTAATATGTTTATAACTGAAAACTGAATCAGCACTTACCTGGAGTCGGCGAGGTGTGAGCGTGACGGTTCAGGTTTTTCTGAAAAACTGACTGAAAAACTTTTCAGAGACGCAGAAACGTGCTCTGATACCAATTGTAACACCCCGACTTTTTACTACAATCAGAGTACGCTATTTTCGCAAATTTTCTGAATAATAAATAAAATACTTATTTTGCGAAAACTGATTC